TCCTCCTCCTTCTATACATTGTAAACTGCCTTCCCCCCTTTCTTACCCTGACTCCCTACTTCCTCCTATTGTTCTGCCTGTCCGATCCTACTTTCCTATTATGATACATGTAAAATCAGTCCCCTCCCCCTCCCCTTTTTCCTTACCTACTTCACTAACTAATTTACAGACCAGCATCCATGTACAATCAGTCCCCTCCCTCCCCCCACCTTTTTAAATTACTTTACTAAGTAATTTACAGACCAGCATCCACTCGTGGAACTTGATCCCCCTCGGTTTCCGGTCTGCGCACGTGGCGCACCAAGATGGGGCCCAACTGCATCTGCCCCGTGTGGGGGTCCCGGGTCAGCAGCTGTGGGTACTCCCATCTCCCCCAAAACTCATTCTCCGTTCCCCCCCCTGTGCATCTGCATCGATGGAGGTCCGCCATCAAAGCTATGTTTTTCTGGTTATTAAACTGCGTTTTTTTTTTTTTTTGGGTGATGAATTTACTTCTTTTTTCTTTTCTGGTTTCTGTGGTGGCAGCTTGAACACTCTTTATCGGAAGGTCCATAAGAGAGGGCCGTCGGTGCTCGTGGCACGTGACACAAATCAATATGTAAGTTTATTTCTCAGATTCTTGGAATTTCTTGCCATTCCTTTCTCATTTCCCTAAATTTGTTTATTGTCCCAGCCCACCCTCAAAATTATAATTATTATTATTGTTATTTTTTCAATTGTCCCAACCCACCCTCAAAATTTTTAATTGTTGTTTGCTTAAAAAATAAATTTGTCCATTCATTCTGGACTGGGAAAGCGCTGTAGCGCTGAACTGGTTAGCGCTACACTGTCGCCGGCCGCGACGAAGCTGACTTGCACGACGCCGACAACCATGCACCACGCTGGTCGCCGAAGGTGATGTCAGCGAGCACCGCACAACGCGCGCATAGCAATTGTCTTGCGTGGAGGCACCTTCACGCGGGGTGGGGCTGGGGAACCGGGCACACCAGCGGGGCACGCTTCTGTAGTCCCATAGCACTTCGGCGCCGAGGAATGACACGTGGATACCGCCGACAGGGACAATAGCAAGCACCACACACCTTGCCCGCAGCAATTGCCTCACGTGGATGCACTTTCACGCAGAGTAGAGCAGGGAGACAGGACACAGCAGCAGAGCACGCTTCTGTATTCCCATATCGCTTCGGCGCCGGGGAACTACACGCAGACACCCCGAAAAAAAACGGGGGGGAACACGAAGAGAAGGTGACAAGTGGATTGTGAGACAGGAGCAGCCAGCGACAACGACTTGCAACACCTGATCGGCGCGGAAAACGCCGTAGCGGCACCCTCCGAGTGAGCGAAGATAGTTCGGGTGATGGCGACGGACACCGAAGGAAAACCTGTGTAGAAGGAGTACCCTAACAATCCGGTGATCACATGGCTTGAAGCAGGTCCGGAGTTCCTGGCCCCCAACCACGACTCCAGGATTGCGTGTTTGAGCGTCCCGTCAGGGGAGCCGCCAACATTCCTGGAGGTGTGGCTCTTCCGGAAAAACGGTCAGAGGGCTACAGTCTTCGTTTCCACGAAGAGCAACCCGGCATGCTTCCGATGCAGAGGGAGAGGGCATTTCGGGAATGACCCCAACTGCCCGGCCAACCAATCAACGGGAAGACGACAGGTGCAGGGAAACCAGGGGTATGGTACGTGGATCGGCCGGAATGCAGGGGATGCATCGTCGACGACAACATGCAAACTCCAAGGTGGATATGGACCCTGTCGGAAACCCCCACAGTGAAGCCGGACATCTACCCTCCTTATGACAGCAGATGGGGAGAAACCGGAGCGAGGAGGATGGAAGAAGATGGGTTGAGTCACCTGACCAAACCGATCACCCACAAGGATGCCATGGAGGAGGACAGACAAAAACTGCAAACAATGGTGGATCTCGCAAAAATCGGGGAGGCGGCAGAGAAGGTCTTCTATGCCCTCGGACGGAAAGACAAAACCAAGCGCAAAAGAGAGGGAGCCGCAAGAGATGAACGGGAGGCGCATCCAGAAGAGGCGATGGACACTGAAAAGCATGGCATAGATGGAAGTGAAGGACGCAAGAGAAAGACAGCAGGGGAAGATGTTTCCTCACAAATCCAGGAAGTCGACGCAGAGCAACCGGAGGAAGGCGAAGGGCAGGAAGGTGAATAACAGGAGGATATCGACTGGCTACAGCAGGCAGTTTCAGACCTGGAATGAGTGAGGCAGCTGGAATTCAAGCTGCAGTTGGCACATCAGCGGGACACCCAGAAGATGCACCACGCAGGGACCCGAACAATCAAGCGGCAATCTGCAACCTCTACCAGCAACAAATTTGAGGCGCTGCAAGAGGAGAGTGAAATGTCTGAGTTTGTGGCCCGGCAGTATACCCTGAAGACCAGGGTAGCAGGGGACACCCTCCATGTCGACAACCCGGAGTACGCCAGACAATTCCAATGGCCTGATATGTACACAGACAAATCAGACTCCCAGCAAATCCAAGCAAGGGAAAAAAGCGTCAGAGAAGAAAGAAGAAGAGACACAGACCACAGCGGAGCCGAGAGCGCAAACCCGGCCGGGCACAGCAACAGACCTGCGTCGGAGAAAAACCATAATGGAAGCCCAAGTGGCCTCACTCACATCTAAAAATGAGGAGTTTGCAGCCAAACATACTTCCTTGCAGAAGATAGCTTACGAGCAGACAGAGGCCATTGACGCAGCGACCAGGGTGGATGCCAGTGGATGCCAGGAAATCAGGCCACAAAAGAGCCCTCATCCCCTGCCGCTGGCACATCTCACACAAAGATTGGGAGGTGGCTGTGCACAAGAGGAGCTCTAGTCACAGTTGCGGAGCAGTCTCTGTGCGATGGCACGCTGGCAGCGGAGTTCAAAGATGCCCTGACCTCACTCTTCACCCTAGGAGGAGAACAAGGCAATATGGAGAAATGGAAGAATGCCGACGGCCAGCACCACTCAGTCGATCTGTGGCCAGTGCTGGTAAGGGTGTCAGACAAGGCGGCACTGAAGGAGGACCTGGAGTGGGTACCATGGCAGGTGGTAGAATCAAGTCCGTACGGACTGCTGGGACATGGAATGGCCCTGGAGAGGGCAGCCTGGCAGCGGCTCTGGTGACCAGGTACAGACTCTTCCTGGCGAATGCGGATGGCCCAAGAAAATCAACACATTGGCGGAAGGAGGCGTTCTACATGAAGAGCTAGACTGAGAGCCGAGAGCAATAACCAGCAAAAACGAACAACTAGCGGCCCATGCGTGACCAGGCAGCTCCGCCGGCCTACAGAACAGCCTCGTCAACACCGGATCTGCGGGTCCTCTCACAGAACGTCAATGGTTTAGCCACTATTCTCCACAATCAGCAGAAATGGGGCAACCTCACCGATGCAGTAGATTGGTACGGGAGAAGACCACCGGACATACTCTGCCTACAGGAAACACACTTATCGGAATCAGCGGAGCACAAACAAGTACAGGAGGAGGTACTCAATCGTCTCCGCTGGGCACCGGCCCCAACAGCTGGGTCAGTGGGCGCAGTCATCCTCATTCGCGCCAACACAGCTGTCGCACAGGACATAATCATAGAGACCACACACTCAGACCACATCAGTGGGAGATGGGCGCATATGGAATTTCACTATAAACATGAACACTTCCGCCTGTTGTCGATTTACTGCCCCAACGTCCGCCAGCACAGAACAGAATTCATCAACTCTCTCCCACCATTCTGCACCACCCCGGCCCACCTACTACTGGCAGGGGATTGGAACACCACGCTGGATCCGGCTTGGACAGGATGGCAGGAGGAGTCTTCGGCCTTGATGGAGCAGCATGGGAGGAGGCGGCCCCCATACACAACCTTATAGCGGAACAGCATCTGATAGACCCTTACAAAACCATGCAACCAACATCCAAGGCCTTCAGCTACCTCGAGCGCAACCGCAGTCAGCATATCTCAGCCTCACGCATTGACTTCTTCCTGATATCGGAGAATCTTCAGGGCGCGGTCCAAGCAACGGGCACCAGCGACCTGCCGTACTCACCAGGGCTGGACCACAAGTTCACCTACCTGCACCTCATCCTCGAAGCAGCGGCGAAAAGAGGACCGGATTTCTTCAAAGTCAACAACTCCCTCCTCGATACACAGATCATGAAGGAACACATTATCGAGACGTGTGAAGCCCACGGCACCTTCCCACATCTGGTGTGGGGTCTGTCCATCGCCACGGCCAAGGCATCACGCATTCTAGCCACCAGAAGGGCAGTGGTAAGATTGACAGAATGAAACCTCATTGCCCCGCCAGGAACAGCGCAGCTGGAGGAAGCACTGGACGCGGCCAAACAGAGGCTAGCCGACTGGAAGACATGGAAGGAAGCAGGCATACGCCTGCGTGCACGAGTCAAAGAGCTGGAACAGGCTGAGAAGATGGCGAAATACTTCTTCCAAAAATTTTAATCCAACACCCGGAACAAACTTATTGATTGCCTGCGCACAGCTGACACAGACACTTCAGACCCGGACCTCATGCTATCAGCGGCAGCAGACGTCTACAGGGAACTCTACACCTCCAGGGAGAACCAACGTCCACAAGCATCCGTCAGGGAGGCCAGACACAAGTTTCTGAACCATCTAGACAAGACCCTGTCACAAGAGCAGATCGAAGAATTGGACAAACCACTCACTTAAGCAGAAGCCAGAGAAGCGCTGCATTCATTGCAACCGAATAAGACGCTGGGCCAAGATGGTCTCTCCAAGGAGTTTTGGCAAACCTTTTGGCCGGTGTTTGAACAGGAGTACATGTCCTTCCTCAACAAAGCAGAGAGAGAGGAAGGGCTGGGAAAATATGTAAGCACGGGAGTTGTCACTTTACTGTACAAAAAAGGCGATCCAGCTAACATCAAGAACTACAGGCCAATTACGCTGCTGACCGTCGTATACAAACTTTTGGCCAACCGCCTCAGCAGGATCACGAGCCGCTGCTTTCACATCGATCAAACCGGATTCATTCCAGGAAGGTTCATTATCGACAACGTCATGACACTGGTAGACTCGGCACGCTACATCAAAGACAAGCAACTCAATGTGGCTATCCTGTTCTTTGACTTCGAAAAGGCCTATGACCAAGTCAACTGGAACTTCCAGCAGCAATGTATGGAGCGGATCGGGGTGGGACCCAACTTCCGAAGATGGGTCAGAGTACTGTACAGCGACGCTCACAGCCAAGTGCAAGTGAATGGGTTCTTCTCCACCCCCTTCAAAATGACACGCTCAGTTCGTCAAGGCGACCCTCTGGCGGCACCGCCGTTCCTCTTCACTTTGGAAGCTATAGCCTCCTTCCTACGCAAGGACCCGACCATTGATAGACTGGTAGCAGAGCCGTCTCCCCCCACACATGCTGTGACCTTACCGACCACGCTGCTCTTTGTGGACGACCTCACAGCCGTTGTTAAAGCATCTGAAGCATCACTCCAGGGTCTTACTCGAGCCATGCAAGTGTTCCATCTTGCTTCCGAAATGAAAGTCAACTGGCATAAGAGGATGGGCTGGTGGGTGGCAGACTGTATGCCGCCCCCACAAGCCACCTCCCCCGAGGGATTCGAGTGGCAAGACCCGAGGACGCCCCTGCGATTCCTGGGAATCAAGCTCTCTGAAACAGGACCCAATCAAGCCATGGTGCCAGAGATTCTGACCAGGATGCTATGCAAAATGGATACCTGGTCGAGCACTTACATGTCGGTCTTTGGAAGGGCACTGGTGCTCAATGCGTCCGTCTTCTCCATGCTGTAGTACGCTTCTACGATTTGGACACCGGAGGCCAACATGATTACCACTCTCAAACGGTGAGCCACGGCCTACTTATGGACGGGGAACCCCGCTGCACAACACTTCATACCCAAGGTTGCTTGGTCACACCTTGTCCAACCAAAGGGGAAAAGGCGGATTGGGGATCCTCGACCCGGCCACCCAAACTGAAACTCTCCAAACGAAGTGTATCGTCAAGCTGTTGTTACAGCAACGACTGCCCTGGACGTCGCTGGCCTTGCACAGGATCAGGCAGCTGCCCAAAGCCAACACCCAGCCCAACATGCAGGGGCTTTTCTGGCTAATGTGAAAGTCTTGGTCATCCCGCAGCAGTCCCCAACAGATGGATCCACAGCAACAGCTGCCACCGCCGACCCGGTCGGAATACTGGATGTACCTAATCAGGATGTGGTGAGAGATCTTCCCGGTTCGGAGCCCTGCCGACGGAGAGGAAGTCCTGCATCAGCCCCTCTTCTGCAACCAGTGGTTGAAAGACCCCTCCGACAAACCATGGACCCTGACGACACAGGATGGACTGGATTACGCGGCCGAAATGAGGCGTGTGGCAACTCAAACGCATCTGGAACCACCACTTGAATCGTTGGAAGATATGCGCAGAGCTCAGAGAAAGGGCTGCCACAACCTGGATGCCAACGTGCAGGCGATGTTACAATCCATACCAACGGACTGGGTGGCACTACTACAAACTCCGTCCGCCTGGACTACGGGGGAGTGGGCCACGTGGCACTCAGAGAGTACTCCTATGACGGCGTTGTCATACGTGATGTCAACAGGACCGGCAGAGGACTGGGGGCTGTGGACCATCCACGACATTGAACAGCCGGGGAGCACAGTCAGCAGGGTTTCCAAAACAGCATGGGTCCGAGTCACAGCCAAACCGGCCCTCCTCAGGAAGATTAGAGTGGTCGAGGACGACGAGTACAGAATATACCAGCCAGGAATACTCCTACAAGACCTGGAGTTCGACCCAGCCATGTGGGCTTGGAAAACAAGATCCACGTTAACAGGGACACAGAAACGAACCAACAGCTTAGACTACTCGACCAGCTTCGGTTATAAGCTCAGACGAAGACCAGTAAACACAGAACTCATCCTGTCACAGCGGTGGGAGAAACACATCCCGGGCTGCCTGGGGGATACGCTGAAACTTGACTGGCAGGTTCCCCTTGCCATCAGGAGCACCCGGATAAGAAGCATGCAAGCCAAGCGAAGGAAGCCAAGACCTATATTTAGCCACTACAGTGCAGCGGCTCATCTCTTGTTCAGTTGCGAGATGCGGAAGTGCTGCTGCTGCTTGTGCGTTACGGCAACTTGGGCACTGTGCGCCTGAAGAAGAAGAGGGCGCTTGAGAGATATTCCATAGCTAGGCTAGCGGTAGAGCAGGAGGACGGCGGCCATAGCGCTAAGGTGTAAGCTACCTGAGTGGGTGTATCCAAGGTAACGATCTAGGGTAGAGAGAGAGAGAGAGAAGAGAGACAGTGCGGCAGAGCGAGTCAAGTCAGAGAGGGAAGGAAGACAGACACAGAGAAAGAGAGAGAGAGAGAGAGAGAGAGAGAGAGAGAGAGAGAGAGAGAGAGAGAGAGAGAGAGAGAGAGAGAGAGAGAGAGA